ATTACTATTACCACTAATACTAACACTCATATTATTACTATTACCACTATTACTACCACTCATATTACTACTATTACCATGATTATTACTACTCATATTACTACTATTACCACTAATACTAACACTCATATTATTACTATTACTACTATTACTACCACTCATATTACTACTACTACCACTATTACTACCACTCATATTACTACTATTACTACCACTCATATTATTACTATTACCACTATTACTACCACTCATATTACTACTATTACCACTATTACTACCACTCATATTACTACTATTACCACTATTACTACCACTCATATTACTACTACTACCACTAATACTACCACTCATATTACTACTACTACCACTATTACTACCACTCATATTATTACTACTACCACTAATACTACCACTCATATTACTACTACTACCACTAATACTACCACTCATATTATTACTACTACCACTAATACTACCACTCATATTATTACTACTACCACTAATACTACCACTCATATTACTGCTCAGTCAGTCCAGTCTACGTCAGTCTGTCTGCTGATGTCAGCAGATGTGAGGTTGACAGATGTGACTGATGAAAGAGAGAAAATCAGTGGTGGTGTGGAGTTTTGTTGTTGTGAATCTACACATTCACCCGTGTGTGTGTGTGTGTGTGTGTGTGTGTGTTCTTTGTGTCTTTCAGGACCATTTTATCACAACTGCAGACTGCAGAGAAAATGTCTGACTGAATACGACCTGGAAAATACATTTAAAATCCACAAAGAATACTTATGTGTACTTGTTTTGTTTGTGTAATAAAAACTCCACTTACACAAAGTGTGTTGTTCTCATCTGTGTCCACTAGAGGACCACTGTTCCTCAGACACTGACCACCAGGTTTTACTGTAGAAAAGACAGGATTAATATTGTTTACAAAGCCTGATGTTATCAAACCTGAGGAAAGTTACAAAAGTCCTGAAGTGGAAAGATGGAATGAAAGAATGAGACAACTTTGATTTGATTTATTCCTTTCATTTAAAACAAAACTGTTTACATTACAAAAAATACAAACTTATATCACAAAATAAAATGAAAGGCAGCAGAATGAAGAAAAAAATCTCATAATATCTGCCCCTTTTTACAAAGAAAAAAGAAGAAAAAACATTAATCTTCTGGTTACAAAAATACAACAAAACAGAAACAACAACAACAACAAAAACACTTACATAAATATTGTTACGAATTGGCAAAAATGAACCCAGGGTGCAGGCAGCTTCAAAAAGGAAAAAATAAAAATTTATTAAACAAAAATTGCTGACAGGGCAGCTCAATAACTCACTTGGTGTAGTTAGACAAGACAAGACAACAAACACACAGGCAGTGAACAGCACAATGATCAGACAGGGAAGTGAAGACAAGGCACACAATATAAAGGTGAGACTAACGAGCACAAACAGGAAACACCTGGGAGAGACACATGAGGAGCAGGTGAGAGTGGGCGGGGCTGGAGCAAAGGCAGACAGGAGGAAGAAAACAGATAAGACAGAAACTAAAATAAAACATTAACACAGACACAAATCTTAACAAATACCCATTATTCTAACTTATATTTGTTCAATAAACCAAGTTTAATCATTCTTTTAAACAAACAATCATCCAGTGTTTCTAACATCACTCTCCAGATCGTTCCACAGTTTCACTTCCTGTATCGACGTAAACCGTTCGCTCAAACTGTTCCAAACCTGTGCTTCACAAATATCTAATTTCCCTTTAAATGATAAGAGCTTTCTCTTTTAACAACATTTAACTGTATATTCAAAGGTAGCATGTTTTTATGAGCCTTAAACATAAGCTGTAGAAAACTGTAATCAACCAACTCATGAAGTTTTAATATTTCCAATTGAAAAAACAATATATTTGATGGGTGACTGTAGTGTTTTATAGTAAAACGTGTGGAAGAACCTTTGAAACGCAGGATAAAAAGTGTTTTCTAACCTAACCCTGTTTCCATCAGAGCCACTGTGTTTATTGAGRCCAGAATAATTAGCTCTATCCTGGGGGAGGAGCTCGTTAGTCTGATAATRCACAGACTTCCTCAGACTGATAAGACCACTTACTGCTGTGTGGACAGGAGTCACATGAGGGGGGCTCTGGAATGTCATGTTCCACTGCAGTGTGTCCACAAAGACCTCCATCAGATAAACCTCAGGGTCCGTATTTATCAAACTTCTTACAGTGCATTTTTAGACTTAAGAGCTGAAAATGTCTTAGATTTGCTCCTACTCTCAGAGTTAAGTGTAAGTGTCAGTTATCAAAAGTCTTAAGTCTAAGAATCAGTCTGACTCTGAAGAAAAGTTCAGACTGATCCTTCAGTGGTTCAGAGTTACCTCTAGAGGTCTGAGATGGACTGAAGACAGAGATTACAGCTGTCCTCCTCCCCACCTGACTGTTACTCTGTTAGAAGATGGAAAACAGGTTTAATCTGAAATATACTAAAGATACAAAGGTAAAAATAAAAAACTGTGCATAATGTTGGACTAAAAGGCAGATATCTGTGTGTAGCTTTTGGAAAAAATATTAAATTGACTCAGCTGGTGAG